AAAAGAAACGCGCGCACACGCGCGCGCGCACACACACACACACACACACACACACACACACACACACACACACACACACACACACACAACACCCTAGATATCGTTGTTTATTGTTCATGAGAACATTTTTTTATTCATGTGTGTTTCTGTGAGCCGATGCGGCCATCACATGCTTTTGAGGAGGAAGCCGCTGAAGGTGCTGAGTCGGCTCTGGTCGAAGATGCTCTGGTTGGCCCACAAGGTTACCCACAACTTGTCTCCCTCCTCCAGTACCAGCGGCATGCCGTTGGTGGCGCTACTGAATGTGCCCTGCGTGTCGTAGATGGCGAACATGTTGATGCCGTTCTTTATCACGGCCGCGTTCAAGGACCCCGATTTGCCCACGTTGCCGTTGAAGACGATGAAGTAGAGACCCCTCACAGGGGCTGTGAAGATGCCTGGGGGGTGAGGGGGGGGTTAATAGTACCGCAATGGGACACGGATGAGATGTCGCTCGGTGCGAGAGGTGATGGCGACCTACCTGTGTTGGAGTCGTAGCCGTTGCCCACATTGGTGATCACATTCTTGAACACCAGGGTGGTGTCGGTGTTGAAGGGGCCGAGGTGGGTCCATTCCTGTGTGGCGACCAGCGCCGCCGCAAAGGACACCGGCGCTTTGGCTGCCCACACACACACACACACACACACACACACACACACACACACACCATAAAGATGAGCCTCACGGTTTCCGGGAACGTCTCAGTTTCTGAAGGTGTCGTTTCATTGACCGACCTGCTTCAGCTGCGTCCTTCTCCAGCTTGTCCACGCGCGCTGCCACCTGGTACAGGAGGGCGTTGCATTCCGGTTCGGCCTTGGCGCGCTCGCCGGCGAAAAACGGCTGCGCTCGAAGGCTCCCGACAGCGCACAGAATGAGCAACGTGGTCAAGAATGAGCACGCCATTGCTAAAATGATCAGCGGGGTGGCGTCTCGCTTTCAGATATGCACTATTTAACCTGAACATCACCCTCGCTTATGTCCTTGCAAAGTTTGTTCACCCTTCAAAACGGGGACTTTGATCACAAACATTTGTCAAAACACAACAAAACCCGACCATCAACATGCTCCACCACCCGCCCGCAAAAAAGGGCACAACCGAAGACGATTGGCATTCCATTACAATATCAATCGTTAACGTTAGTATGATGAATTTGCGCCCCCGCCACCTGATGGAGTCGCCCCCCCACCCCCCGCCGGACTGAGTTTCAGTCTTGAGGGGTCTCGTATAGACCACCATTCAAGATAGGACCGCCACTGAGGGGAGGTCAGGGTAGCATCGGTGGGGGATCGGGCATGAAGCGATCGGGACGCCGAGTGATGATATCAGCACACGCATGCAAAGACACAAAGACAAAACAGCCACAGCTGTGGCGGTTTGCACGTTTTTATTTTCTTTTTTTTTGCGATTGTCTTGTTTGAAGACAAGCACCTGCAAGCTTCGGGGCGAGGTTAAGGCAGGGGGCTGATGAGGAAGCCGCTGAAGGTACTGAGGCCAGGTTTTTGTCCACCCAAATATTGACCCGATCAAGGGATACATTTAGGTTCGAAGCCATGAACATAGCGAATGAACAATCCCTTTCAAAGGGGGCCATCCAGCTGCAGCCGGGATTGCAACCCCAAATCGCAACTTGTGAAGATGACAACCATTTGACCCCTGCTCGTTGCACAACAGCGCTCATGTTCTTTAGATTGGTGAAACATGTCGTTCTTTCATCATTTGGTTCAATTCTGAACTTTGTTTGCAAATATTAGATGAAGTTTGTTCAATTCTGAGCCAATCACCGACATTCGATCCGCAAGTTACAAAAGGCCAAAGTGTTTTAGACGCGCGCTCTCACCCCCGTGAGAGCGCGCGTCTAAAACAAGTTTCGGAGACCTGTCAAATCCTCCACAACAGGATGAGAACCAATCACAAGGTTTTTGCGGTCATGTGATCCAACAGGGAAAGGACAACATCAAAAATTAAGTATGAAATCTTAAATCTCATCATCACAACTGAGAAAACAAAGAAGACGTTTTGCAAGGTGTGCAGTTGTTTATTCCAAATGTCGCCAAAGTGAACACTCTCGATGGTCCGTTCGGGTCCGGCAGCACAACGGGACCGCCTCCGAGCTCAGGTCAGTTCAGTTGATGAGCCGTCGTCAACAACCACCATCATCATCATCATCGGCAGTGGCGGCAACAGCAAGGCAACACTTTCAAGTCCACAAGGAATCCCGTTTCGTCCGATGTCTCGGCCCCGCCCCCACAACACGTCTACCGATCAGGAGCGTGGGAAGATGAGGGTTCAAAGTGCAGATTTAAAAAAAAAAAATGTCATTGCAGCGTCAGTATCCGCCTGAGGCTTTCGAGGGAGCGTCACTGTGGCCGCCGTCACCCGTATTGACGACGTTTGTAAAGCATTGCCTTGAGATCGACTCTTGAGCTGGGTCACAGGACAAATACAACCCTGAAATCAACGTACCGTTTCTTCCTAGCGGCGTTCGGGATCCCCCGAACAGGCGGTCTACAGCCTCTTGGTGTGCTGGAGGTTGTAGTGCGTGCGCATGTCCTTGCGCAGGCGGAACTTGTCTCCGCACACGCCGCACACGTAGAGGTGCACGTCCATGTGCTCCTCCAGCTGCTCGCCGCCTGGGAAGATCTGGAAGCACACTTGGCAGATGGTCTCGCCGGCCGTCAGGTGCGAGATCATGTGGCGCACGTGGTCGTGCTTGAGGAAGGTGCCCTGCTCGCACACGGGGCACACGTAGCGCGCCACGCCGCGGTGCATGTCCGTGTGCAGGCGCAGCTGCCGCTCACGCAGGAAGCGCTTGCCGCACGTCTGGCAGGTAAACTGCTTCTCCTTGGTGTGCACCGTGTAGTGCTCGCGCAGGTGGCAGCGCTGGAAGAAGCCTTTGCCGCAGATGGCGCAGAAATGCTTGCGTCGGTGGTCGGGGCCTCCGCCGCCGCCCCCGCCCCCGCCACCCGGCCGGAAGGCCTCGGCCTCATGGGGGCAGGAGAGGGCGTGCTCCAGCGCCAGGCTCTCGCTCTGGAAGGGCAGGCCGCAGTGAGGGCAGGCCAGCTCGGCGCCGGGCGGCTCGTCGGCCTCGTCCGACTCGCCGCAGCGCTCGGCGTGCTCCTGGAGCTGCCGGCCCTTGATCAGCACTTGGCCGCAGCGTCCGCAGGCGCAGATGTGGCCCAGGTGGCTGGACAGGTAGTGCGCCGACTTGTCGTCCTCGCTCAGCGGAGCCCCGCACAGCTCGCACGGGGCGCCGTCCGTGCTCTCCTCTTTCACCGCAAAAACATCGGGCGACGTGGCAGAGGAGTCGCTTCCCGACATGGCACTGAAGCAACGGCCGGCTGCCTTCTCCACGCCGGAGACGCCAGGCACCGCCTCGCGGTCCTCGTCGTCTGGCACCCCGACCCCGCACGGTGCGACAACCGCGCCCGCCTCCCGCTCCTCCAGGCGGAGGTCGTCCCCGGGTTCCGTCTTGATGGAAACACGGCAGGCGGATCCCGCGCCGCCGCTCGGCCCCGCCGCGACCGAGCGCAGGTCGGCGAGCATCCGGCGCTCTTCAGCGCTGTCCGAAGCGGAGCTCTCGGCCTTGGCGGAGTCGTCGTCGCCATCTGGGCTGCGGGCGGGCGCGAAGGTCTTGCGGTTGGTGCAGGTGAGGATATGCTCGATCAGAAGCTTTTCGCAGCTGAAGACGAAGCCGCAGTCGTCACAGGTGAAGGTGCGACCGAATCGAGGGCGTTCCCTCAGGGCCGAGCTCCTTCCTACACTTCGCTTCCTCAGGTCGCACGGTTGCTCCGCTGTATGCCCACCGTCCACCACGCTCGGGAGGACGGCAGCGCTGGGTGCTTCCTCGGTCGCAGGCGGCACGCCCAGGTACCTGCCAAGGTTGTTGCAGTTCATGAAAACGAATGGGGAAAAACAACAAACAAAAGGGTGGAAATATATATATATATTTTTTTGCTTCATTGAAATAATAATAATGGACAGATTCAAGTTTTAAAAGAATTGTTTGTTGCAGGCCTCATCAACGCCCAACCGACTCGAGCGAGGGTACCTGGCAGAGCCGCAGACTTTTTTGCCGCTGTCGGCAGGATCTTGAGCGGCGGCGGGCCTCTGCCGCTCGTACATCCGAACGCCGAACAACATCTTCCCGCAGGCGGCCGCCGCCGTCGAGCACTCGGACGAGGACGGCGTCAGGTTGGACGCGCCCCGGATGTCGCGCAGGTCGTCCAGTGAGTCGGGGATGTAGTACATCTGCAGGTAGATCATGGACGCTTTGAGGTCGTCGAAGTTAAAGCTCCCCGCCGCGATGCGTCCCAGATACATGAGCTGCAGGATCAGATCGAAGCACTCTGCACTGATCTGCATGTTGCTAAGGTCCAGGCGTGCCGCCCCCTGCTGGTCGCGGATGAACATCATACGGAAGTAGGAGCTGCAGGCCGCCAGCACGGCCTTGTGTGCCCGGAAGTAGATGTCGCCAATGGCGATGAGGCAGTCGCACAGGAAGCCCCACTCGCGCTGGTTGTTCAGTTGCTGGAGGACGTGATCGCCGTGGCTCGGCCGAGCCATCGCCCTGCGGGGGAACCACGCAGGCACACGCATGCTCAGCTTTCAAAGGCTATGGATGACTTCAAACATTAATGGAACCTGCAAACTACAACTAAACTCTTTCTGAAAAAAGTAAAAATAAACTCCCCGGATGACATGAATACTGACTTTTTTTTTTTTCTAGCAGAGTTGTGGTAGGACCAATGCTTCTCAGAACTGTTCTTGATTTCTAAGGCCCCACTTTCCAGCTCCTGTTCATGGTGCGAACACCAGCATGCTTCACTCATGTCAGACAAACTCCATGTGTGGGCGAGGTCAAGGAAATTAGCCACTTATTTGGTACAAATTGGTCTAAATGGGGAAGATTAACTTGGAAACATTTTCAGAACCAGGCATCGACCTACAGCTGGAGCCTGGACCATTTCCTTTCACACCGAATAGGTTTTCATGTGCTGAGCCCCAAAACAAAAGTATTTATTCCCATGCAACACACGAAGAAGTAAACATTCCAATAGAGGTCCACCTTTACGTAATTAAAAAGTGCCGCAAAAAGTATCCAAAATATTCGCAGCTCCTTTCTGACGCACTTTGAATGTGTGCTGCTTCCTGACACCGGAACAAAAACACTACGAGGAACTTGTTAGCTCAAATTCGCTTTGAAGCAAACAAGTGGCACATCAAACAAGAGGAGGGATGTAGACATTGCTTTTTTGTTGTTGCTGTTGTACTTTTGGGAGGTCAGAGACTCAATTGTAGTCAACGAGAGAAGGGAGGGGCTGCCGGGGGAAAGGGGGGCGAAATACCCCCCTCACGGCCCGGCTAACAGGGAGCTAGAAGCTAATAAGCGAATATGCATTACATCACCGGATGTTTCGGCGACTACGCCTTCAAACTAAAAGCACATGAAGAAAAATAATAGATGAAGGCCGGAGTGGCAAGATCGATAATATCTAACAGGATATTTAGATTAGTTAGTGTCTCTTTAGCACCACCTAACGGGTGCGAAAATACAGACGAAGTCACTTGAACCGTTCCAAAACATTTCACTTTGAAAGGCAAACAGGAACAAGAGTTTGGCGGTGCGTCGGCTTGGGACGCAGACGGCAACGTCTCCCGCAAGCAGCCCCGCCACCTCTGCAACCCCCGCAACAAACACGCAAAGGAGCCCCCCCCCCGCCACGCTCTCCCGGCAGCGCAACACCGACTCACCGCAAGTCCCGAGGCCGACGGAGGAGCTCGGAGGTCGGCTGAAGATGGGCGGAGGCTCCGCGGGAAAAGGCGGTTCCTCTGCGGGAAGGTGGAAGTTGCGGTTTAGGGCCGAAAAAGAAGGAAGGAAAAAAAAAAGAAAGAACAAGACGAAGAAGAAGAAGAAGAAGCGTTTCGTTCTCCTTCAACTAGTGCTGGGTTCAACTTCCGCACAAGCTGCCCGTGGTTCATGAGGAACAAAATAAAAGACTTCCAGTTGAAGGGGGCGCCTTCAAAATAAAGTTTAAAGGCCGAGCTTCTGGCAACGCACAGTCAGCAAACTGTAAAGCTAATTATAAATATATAGCACATGTAATGGATGTAATAGTTGATTTGTATTCATTTTATTCGATACATGCAGTCGTATACAGTATCTAATTTTGTGTATGAGGAGAAAAGTGGGTGTGTGTATTTATATATCCCTCTTAAATGTTCCAGATCATCACCTTATCATGTGATTCTCACCAGACCCGTCCTGACGAGCAGGCCATAGGGGGGCGTCACTCCACCTCCATTTGAGGCACAAAATCTCCCAAAATAACCTTTTTTTTTTCCACATTGGATTTTAATTTGATCATAGTAGCTATTTTGAGGCTATTTTGAGTTGTAAGGTATTCATGTTGAGTTGTTTATCATTAAGACATTAAGAAATAATGTTGTGATTTTGTTTGATTGATGGTTAGTCTTATTTACAACAGCTTATCTGAGCCTTACTGAAAATAATGTCAGCTGCACAGGCTGATTGATATGTGACAGCTTATGTCAATTTGGTGTGCAAGAGTCCCGCACATTTTTCAAAGTGAATCTGCAATGTTGTTTTTAGTTTGTGTGTGTGTGTGTGTGTGTGTGTGTGTGTGTGTGTGTGTGTGTGTGTGTGTGTGTCATTGTGTAATGTGGAATGACGCATTTTTTGTTGTTGTTGTAAATAACAAGAATCAGGGACACTGTGCGAGGTCTGGCACATGGGAAAGTCTCAAATTCAACATAAATGATGTCTTCGCTTATTTCAAATCCAAATCTATAATATTAGTGTCCAGACCCCCCAAAAAGTACATGATTGCAAAGTAGTCAACTGGCGGATCTAATACAATAATATTGCAGGGATTTTAATCACGTTCAACCCATGTGCATGTTCGAATGAAGTCCAAATGAAGACTTTGCTTCTGTGCGTATTTTCCAATTGCATTTCAAGGTGCTGTGTTTTTTTTCTTTTGTGTCGGGGGGGGGGGGTCGCTCACGTGACGGTTCGCGTCCTCTCGCGAGACGTGACGCAGTTTGGCGCACAAACAATCATCTTCACCTTCGTCTTCATCCTCGCTCGCTCGGATCTTTTCGGCGGTAAAGGCATCAATCAATCGACGCCTGGGGGAAGGAGCGCGCGCACGACCGCGTATTGACGCACGCGCACGACAGATCGTCACAGCCGGTGCGTCAGGGCGCGTACGTGCACGCGCGGCGCCTTGACAAAAGGTGTGTGCGGTCCGCAACTGTGTGCTCAAAGCAGGTCCGCGATGGAGGCGACGTCGGCGTGTGCGTCTGCGTCGGCCTGTGCGTCTGCGTGTGCGTCGGCGACGTCCGCTCACAGTCTGCTGCTACTGCAGCAGCTCAACGTGCAGCGCGAGTTCGGCTTCTTGTGCGACTGCACTGTCGCCATCGGCAACGTCTACTTCAAAGCTCACCGCGCCGTCCTCGCCGCCTTCTCAAACTACTTCAAGATGATCTTCATTCACCAGACCAGGTCACACGCACGCACGCGCACGCAACGCACCCGCACCTGCACCGTGACCGTCCTCCCCTGTCACGAAGCAGGGGTGCCTTGAGCTACGAGTTGAAATTGTCCCGGCACCACACTCGTCCCTGAAATCTTTTCCCACTGAAATGAATGGAAATGCCAACAAATGTTTTGTTCAGAAAAACATGATAAACGGAACCAAATACGTACTGATTATATTTGTAAATAATTCAATGATGTACCTGAGCAGAGGTGACCAGCAATCATAAATTGATGTTTAAGGCAAAACAAAAACAATTATTTTCAAACGTAAGCCCTTGTTTTAAGAGGGTGATAAAAAATAAAAATAAAAACAGATTTGGCCTGCAGTATGAGTGAACATAGCCTGAGAAGTTGTTCTTTGCAGAGGAGAAAGAAGATAGGCCTGTCGAAATATTTGTTGCATACAGCAGTGATCCCCAACCAGTGTGCTATGGCACATTGTATCTCAGAAAATTCACAAATTGGCTCCTCCGTATCTCAAGACACCACTGCATGAAGGACGTTGCTACATCGTAATAAGAGAGTGGGGAATGACTTCCAACATAACTCTCGGCATAGCAACATCGGAAGCATGGTAGCATCATGAGCATGTCTAAACTTGTAGCTACACAAACGGTTGAAGCAACGAAGGTTAGCTCTTGTGCTAGCATGAGTTCTGAGTTGAGAATGAACTTTTTTTTTGACATGTCACGTGTGCATTTGTGTGTGCGCGCTCCAGCGAGTGCATCAAGATCCAGCCGACTGACATCCAGCCCGATGTGTTCAGCTACCTGCTGCACGTGATGTACACAGGGGCGTGCCCCAAGCAGGCTGTGGAGCCCGCCCGCCTTGAGGACGGCATCAAGTTCCTCCACGCCCACCAGCTGTGTCGCAAGAGTGGCGATGGGCTCGCCGGCAGCACCGGGCAAGACGCTGCTGCGCCCTCCGCCGCCGACGCCGTGCGCATGTCCAACCTCTACGGCATCCAGATCTCATCCCAGCTGGCCGGCAAGGAGGCGCCCGCCACCGCCGTCCACTCGGGGGCGCGGGGGGGACGCACCCACTCGCATCCGTCGCTGGCCGTGGGCTCGGAAGGCGAGCGATCGGATGGTCAGGCCTCTTCGCCGCAGGATGACTTTGACATCTCGGCCACCATAAAGCAGGAGCGTCCGGAGGACGAGGGAGCCGAGATGGGGTCGCCGGCCCAGGACGGTGCGGCGTCTGATGAGCGGCGCCGGCCGCCACCGCCGCTCGCATGTCCCCGCTGTGGCCATTGCTGCCCCTCGCCTGAGCGGCTGCGCCAGCACCTGTTCAGCCACGCCCTCCACCCTGCCCTCTTCACGGAGGGGCTGGCACACGAGGGCGGCGGCGGTCTGGATGATGAAGACGAGGTGGCCGGCCAGCGCATGGATGCCGGCCGCCTGGAGGATGCGCTGCGGCAGAGTCGGGCGCTCGCCGCTCAGCTGGCGGCGGAGCTCCGAAGGAGCCGTGAGGGGGCGGGACTGAGCGCCGCCCCCGCCGCCGCCCACTCACGCAAGCGTAAGATGGCGTGCGCCGTGTGCGGCGTGCGCTTCTCGCACAAGAGTCAGCTTCAGGAGCACATGTACGCGCACACCGCCAAGCCGCCCAGACTGCACCGCCACAGCCAGCTCTTCCACAGCTCTGCCCACTTCTGCCATGAAGGAGGCGGGGCTTTGGCGAATGACGCCCTCCTGGACGTGGGCAGGGACGCTCACGACAACGGAAGCTCCGCCTACTCGCTCGACTCGGAAATCTCGCAGGAGAGTGGCGACGGCGGGCGCTGCGAGTGACGCTGTGGTTTCCTGTTTGATCATGTGACAGGGAGTCTCGCGGTGACTTTCGTTGATGGACGCGCTCTTCGTTTTGTCCTCTGTGTGGTTTTCAAAGTAAAAGCTCTGATCAAACACGCTCTGTGGTTCTCCTGCTTTTATTTTGAAATACGAGGATTGTTTAGTGGGTAACTGCCTGCCTCCGCGTGGGGTTAGCGTGTCTTCTTTTCTTCGGTTACACTCGTTAGACCTTAACCTGGTGACATGCAGCATCAGAGGCAGTGTCCGGCGGCGTTGGCGAGAGCGCGCCGGGCGCTGACCACTGTGTTCTGCAGTCAACGCAAACATAAGCTACATGAGCGTTTGCGCGTCCCGTCCGGCGCCCCCCTGCGTCTGCGCAGGGCACGACCTACCTGCATCAGCATGGCCACCGTCATGGGCCCCACCCCTCCTGGCACGGGTGTGATGAAGCCTGCTCGCTGATAGGCTGAGGCGAAGTGCACGTCGCCCACCACACGCTTGCCGCTCGGCTTGCTCGTGTCTGATGCCGTCACCCGAGGAAAGACAAAAATCCAAATCAAACCGAGTTGGTTTTCAAAAGCCACAAATGGGCATTCATAGTTATGGAAATGTGCTTTTCAAAATATGCTTTAAAAGTGTAACTATTGTCATTTCAAAAACAGAAACGTTACCATCAACAAATGAGCCGGTGGAACAAATGATCATTTTTAAAAATTGTGATGTCACGGACCAATGACACGCCCCCTGGCGGTCACATGATCACATCAGCGAGCACTCGCCTGACACATGATTGATGCCGCAGTCGATGAGCACGCAGCCCTCCTTCAGCCAATCGCCTTGCACCATCTCTGCTCTCCCCGCCCCCACCACCACAATGTCTGCCCTGCCCACCTGAAAACGGCAAAGTATCGTCGGTGTGACATCATCATCATCATCGTCAATTTCATCTTCACCGCTCGGAACCTTCAATACCACGTTTTACCAGTCTCAGCTCTTGAGTACTCACCGATACCGCCAGTACTTTTGGAACATCAAATTTGTATTAAATCAATGATAGATTATTGTCAAGCACGACCTTTTGTTCAATTCTGACAAAACGCACCCCTAACGTCACAATCATCCTTCCCACGACATCATCTTGATGATCATAGCCAACCTGGGCGTGACATTATCATGCTCAGCCTGGCGGAGGAGCGCACCTGTGTGGCGATGTCACGCGTCTTTGAGTGGCAGGTGGTGACGGTGGCGTGATTCCACAAGAGCAGGTCGTGCATGGGGGCGCCCACAATCTTGCTGCGGCCGATCACCACTGCGTGCTTGCCGGCCACGCTCACACCTGCGCACCCGCACAAATCAGCGGGAATCCTCAGAGACATCGCGTTTTGATGTGGATATTTGTAGCAGAGGCTGATGGCGTCTCAGCAAAACAAATTGTTGAGATTCCTCAAATGATGCAGCAATAAAGACATTCTTGTCCAGTTGCTCTGTGATTGACAGCTGTGTGTGTGCGTGTGTGTGTGTGAGACCTGTCTGTCTGATGAGCTCCATGCATCCGTTAGGGGTGCAGGGAATGAAGCAGCTGTTCAAGTCCCCGCGAGACAGCTTCCCTGCGTTGATGCAACTCAGACTATAGGCGCGCACACACAGGTCAAAAGGTTACGACGACAACGATGACGGCAAATTCCCGTTGCACCACTTCTGACCCGTCCACGTCTTTGAGCGGCGAGACGGCGTTGGTGACCATCTCCACATCCATGCGGTTGACGGAATCCAGAGGAAGCTGTACGATGAGGCCGTGCACGGATGCGTCCTCGTTGACGGCCGCGATGGCCCGCAGCACCTGCGGGGGGCCCGCAAACAATGAGACCTCAAACACTTTTGATTTCATGACAACGTGACTGTGGACAGTATGATAAATGGTGACTTTTTGGCAATGTTATGTGCTTGCTAGGTTATGAGAGTCATAATTTGGATTGATGTTGACTGTACGATGATGACCTGCCTACCTCATCTTGTGTCACCGTGTTGGGCAACCTCACGTGTGTTGCATCGATTCCCACCTGGAGAAAAAAAAATATATTAAAATAACACACGCAAACAGGCTTGCGGACCAGAAGTCAGGATTTCTTTGCACCACTGGCGTGAAAGATGTTCAATCGGAACTGAGTGCAATGTGATTCTTAAATGTATACACGCGGCACATCACGAGTGACGCGTCATCTTCATCCAACTTGGTTGGAGTAAGTTTCGCTGCAACCAACCAATTGGATGACAGACAAAGGCTGAAAGTGGTTGTTTGTATCAGTCCCATTCTAATGTAGTCAGAGTTAAATGACTGAATGTAAAGGCAGATGGCAGATTAGATCAACATGGAGGTGAAAAAACCCGCATTTGAAGCAGCGCAGACAGCCCAAACATAATTGCATGGAACAAAGGCTCAATTTCCCTTGTAAATTCACCTCAGCTGCAGCTTTCATCTTACTGCTGATGTACAGGTTGGAATCTTCTCGGTTCCCCACCTGGAAGTACAAACACGCACGCACGCAAGTGACGAGGCGACATAATGATGTCACATGACGCTGGGCGCGGTTTGAGAGCGACCTGTAAAACCAGCAGACGGGGGACGACCTTGGACATCTTCATCTCGTCCACCTCCTTCTTCAGCCGCTCCCTCACCAACCTGAGGACACGTCGCACACGGTGCTGACACGGAGAGAAACCGAGTGACACTTGGCCAAACATGTCGACAACCTACTTGGAAGTTTGGTTTCCGGAGATGACGGTTGCTATGGAGCGTCGAGCTCCAAAGCAACAAGACGCGGTCGAGTGACGCCAAAGGCTCAACATGGCTGACGGGGGAAGACGACAGCATCTTATGACCATACATCACTCTGCATCCACACACGCTACACTACATCATCTCCATGAATGTTCTGAACTGTTTTCCAGCGTCTTCTTGCCTAAGTTACTTCTTGAGAGCAAATCAACAGCGCACCTACTGTTGGCAGCCACGAAGCGCACAACCTTCGGACCGCGGTGCCTCAAGGTGCCATTAATTCCACACAAGCAATCCATTTCATCACAATCAATCCATTCCAAGCCCTTGTTGAACAAGCAATCATAGCAAAATGCACGCAAAGACGACAAAAACGTGGCGTCTTACCCGAGACCACCGCACCACCACTGTGTAATCATTGACCACTTTGTGTGTGTGTTTGTTTACAAAGGGTGAGTGAGATAAAAAAAAAAAGTTGAGGACTGAAAAGTATTGTACTTTGAAATAAAAGTAGTGACCAAACAAATTAAAAAATGTTTATTTTGTGTGCAACATACATGTCACAACTTTAAACCAATTAATGGTTTTATTTACAGACTTCAAGTCGATGTCTCGGCAGACAGACACACACGAGCAACATTTACATTTGGATTTCACTTGAAAACGTCAAAGGAAAAAAAGTCGAAAAGATGTACAAAACAAAACGACAACAAAAAAAAGAATCCAAAGTCGCCCACTTGCTGCTCCTCTGATTGGATAAGAGCGCCGTGGGATGTCCCGCCCCTCCACCACTTGCCAGCACATTGACCTTTGACCTACCGTCACTCACACACACACACACACACACACACACACACACACACACACACACACACCCAGCACCAGAATGAGGTCAGGCGACATTCTTAAAACGCAAGAGTCAGCGTGACACGCACGCGGCTTCAGTGGCGTGTTCAAAGGTGGTCGCCATGGTTACCCCTGATAAAGAGCAGGTGGCCGGAATGCGGGCAAGACACTTCCTGTCACCTGCAAGTCGAGTCCTTTCAACAAAAAGAAGACAAAAGCGAGGCTAAAAGGCACGACAGGAAGAGGAGCCTCAAACGAAAAGTGTGATGTGCGTTAGCGTGCGCTGGAGACAAACCCAGCTGACTTGGGCCAAAAGGTGGGGGGTGGAATAACAAACAGGGGAATGGTCGCCGGACGCCAGTTGGCGGCATGGACCGAGCGGCGAATGCGGCCAAGTTGCCAGCTCACGAAGCACGGACGCGATGCTGGCGATGTGCCAACATTTCCGCTGCCAGGACAAACTATCCGGAGACCGATCCTGCTCAGATTGGCCACGTGAACTCGGGCAGCTTGGGTAGCTCCCAAAATGTCCACTCCAAAGCCTTAAGTTGGGGTTGGCCAGTCAGGAAGCCGTGAACCATCGCCAAGGCAGTTACAATGTTTCTCGCCAGTCACGGCGACCATTCGTGTGCAAATCGAGTGGTCACCAGTGTCAGGGCACATACGGACAGACAAAAAAAAAAGCACTGGCGCTTATGGGGAAGCTCAGGTCTTCGATGGACTCGGCAAGCTGACGTTTTTGCAATGTTGGAGGTAAAATACACGCAAACAAAGTCAGGAATCCGAGCCGAACCTCAGAAGCGCGAGGCAGGCGCGCAAGGCAGGCCTGCCTGCTCACCGCTTGTCCACACGGTCAAACGTTTAAAGGCAGTCGTCAGAACAAATTCCTTCTTCCGGTTGAGCGGTCATGGCAAGGAGAAGAAGTTGCGAGTAACAAGCGGAGCAGGACGGTCCGGTTCACAGCAGTCGCGGCGCCCGACCGCCCGGCGCGACCGGTCGCACCGGCTCGCTTGCTGCCGACGGCATATAAAAGGAGAGGCCAGATGAGAGGCAGGCAGCGATTGAGTGAGTGAGTGAGTGAGTGAGTGAGAGGAGCGGTCGCTCGCCAGGCAAGGCCGTCCGTCCGTCCCGCTTGGGTCCCCCGCCTGCTTCGGTGCCACCCGGCCGGCTCCAGTGGTTCTCGACACTTCAACAGTGGTCAGGCGCTTTTGTGAAATGTTTAGGACCACTTGAGCCGGATGGGAACTTCCGTCGTGAGTAGACCGGAACAGAAACCGATTGATGTTGCCTCAAATTTTGTTGCTGTTGTTTTGGTTTTTTTTTTTTTTTTTGCAAGTTTGTGTTTTCCGGGGCGTTTATTTGAAAGAAAAATATTTGCCAGCACTAAAATGACCTGACGAGTATTCATCGTGTTTTTAGTGTTTGGAATGGTCAATACAAAGAAAAAAAATGGTGTTGTGATGTTGATGTTTGTCAACGTGTCATACAACCGTTTCCTTGTAACTAATGTGCACTTTTTGATTCATTGGACAATAAAAATACATTTGAAGCATTGGGTCGTGGCCTTTTATTGTGATGGGACCGGAAGTAGTTTTGCGACTTTAGCATACCTCAGAAGAACCAGAATCAGAATCATCTTTATTGGCCAAGTATGTAGAACACACAAGGAATTTGTCTCCGGTATAACACGCTGCATTAGTATCATCATAAACAACGACATGACAAATAAATACCTGAAATTCATTTTTTCAAATCAAAGCTCTTCAACTTATTTAGACGACTTTTTTTTTTTTTTCAATTTGTGGCCAACTCTTGTTTTTGGATTCATGCCTTATCACCGTTTTGTTGTGAACAAATGTTCCCTATTTGGTTCTTTCCATAATAAAAGTTTGCTTTCAGCACTCACCCATGGGTCTTATTTTTATGGGACAGGAAGCAGTTTGACAACAAGGTTATCTGGAATCCGTTCGTTCCGCAGACAGGAAGTCAAGCCGAGCTGGGAGTCTCCTCCCCTTCATTCCCATTTGCCAATCGGGCAGCCGATCAAGCGGGACATCTGGTTCTGAAGCGTTTGGGAAGGTTGGCGCACGATGTCGGGACTGCCCTCTCATTGCTTTGTCCTGAGGGTGGCGCTACAGGACCACAAGGGACATGGCACAGTCTCAAGCAAAGAAGTCCAACAGGCCATGTTTTGCGAGCAAGCTTGGCATTAATGTCAATCGCACACCATCCAAAATAAAACAGCTTTTTGAAATGCTAATTGTTTTCCTTGCAGACCAGTCGGTTGAGTGCAGCGGTGAAATGATGTGACAAAAGAGGAGGGAGCATGGAAGAGGGGAAAAAAAAAGAAAGCCGTCTTACTCAAAGTGCAGATGAGAAGAACAGGAAGTGGCATACGGCAGCAACGTCAGGCCACTTCCTCCATGTAGTCCACCCCCAAGCTCGCGCTCGGCTGGGAGATGCTCACGTCCACGGTGTCCTCCAGCTACATGCGCGCGCCCACGCAAACACACGCACACACACACACACACGCGCATTGGTACACACACACGCACATTACGTAGACTCTCAAAGAGATAGACTGGCACTGCCCAGCGGCGCAGACCTTGTCACTGTGGTCGGGCCCCTCGATGGAGACTTCCTCGATCTCTTCGCTGCTGATCAGCTCATTCTTGTACAAGTCGGAGCGGTGGCTGAAAGGACGCCGCATCATCACAGGTTAGCTCCAAAGAAGCCGCACATCCCCAAAGCGATTGCTGGCCTTTGTCCATCATCTCACACAAGTCGGACATGCAAGAACTCCCGGACGGAAGACAGTCTGGCCTACCTGTTGAAGTCGTCGTACTCAATGTCGTTGTCATCCTCTGTGGGAACACAAAACGCCTTTACAAGCAAATATTAGCCTGCTTATGTCACCTGTAGTCCACCTCAAGAATCATTCTCGTAGTCATAAAAATAATCATCATTGACTAGATTTGTAATGTACCGAAATGGAGTGATGCGCTCTCGTCCCCTCTGCTGGGGAGCTTGGCCCCTTGGGATGCTTTCTCTCTTGACGTTGACACTGATATGGGAAGAATTCCGGCACGTGCACCTATGAACACACGTGCATAGAGACAAAAATACAAACGCAGAGACACACACACTGAGGTTATTATAACTCACGAAAATGGACAAAGTTTAAAACAAAATGACAACCTTCACAAACAAAGCCACTTTTCAATGATGGGGTGTCATCCCCCAAGGAAAGCAAATTCGCCATGGAAACCAAAAAGTGACCCACCCGTCTGACTGTGGCACTTTTCTGATGCACCTCCACCACCTCCTCCTCCCTGTGTCGGCGCCGTCTCCGACAAAAAGCCCGCTGGACTATGTTGGCTGTCGCGAGCCACCGGTTGCCTACAACATCAACACATTCAAATACTGGTAAAAAGTCAACATATCGCTGTCTGTGTTGGGAATGAATCCCCCCCTACATCTGTGACGTGGCCATTTTGTTGTCCTGTTCATGTGTAATGAGTAAAGGTTAGCCCCTTTAAAAGTGCCCTCAACATATCCCACAATGCATCTTGAACTGACAACAAATTGTCAGTAGAGAAGCAATGTGAGGACGCATGTTTTGTGTTGGTATGATGCATGAAGCTTAAAAACTACAAATAATGAAACAAATACCTTGATGCTATGTCACACATTTTTGTCTATCAGGAAAAACACAGTGGACTAAATATTCCACTAAAGGTCCACAAAAAAATCCAAATGTAATAATTTGGACAGACTGCTGGATCCTTACAATCCGTATGTCTTTTGAGGCTGAGGCAAGGGGTCATCAAAAAAGGAGTCGTCATCGTCCTGCTGTTCCCGGTCCACGGGTAGGTCCCGCGCCGAGTCCTTTTGCGGAACGTGCGCCTGCTGAAGGAGCTCCTCGTGCCCAAACACGGCCACCGCAACGTCCTGCTCACGGGCACGTCCCACGTTAGTGAGCCATGCTTGAGGCTTCGGATCGGAGGTGATGGTGTGACATGAAGGGCACCAACCTTGTCGACCGTGACGCTGTTCTCTTGCGACGCCACCTAAAAGAACAAAGTGCGTTCGTTTGACGCTAGCGCCGCCCAAAAAAAAAAACAAAAAAAAAAAAACAAGATACACAACTGTTCATGTGCTAATATGCTAAAAAGACCTCAGTGGCCGGGACAGATTTGGACTTGCGTTCCCCTCTTCGAACGAGCTCCAGCAGCACTGGCGAGTTTGCGTTAAGCTCCGCCTCTGAAAAGCCAAGCTCCCCGCACCCCCAAGCTCGCGCTCGGCTGGGAGATGCTCACGTCCCCGGTGTCCTCCAGCTACATGCGCGCGCCCACGCAAACACACACACACACACACACACACGCGCATTGGTACACACACACGCACATTACGTAGACTCTCAAAGAGATAGACTGGCACTGCCCAGCGGCGCAGACCTTGTCACTGTGGTCGGGCCCCTCGATGGAGACTTCCTCGATCTCTTCGCTGCTGATCAGCTCATTCTTGTACAAGTCGGAGCGGTGGCTGAAAGGACGCCGCATCATCGCGGGTTAGCTCCAAAAAAGCCCCACATCCCCAAAGCGATTGCTGGCCTTTGTCCATCATCTCACACAAGTCGGACATGCAAGAACTCCCGGACGGAAGACAGTCTGGCCTACCTGTTGAAGTCGTCGTACTCAATGTCGTTGTCATCCTCTGTGGGAACACAAAACGCCTTTACAAGCAAATATTAGCCTGCTTATGTCACCTGTAGTCCACCTAAAGAATCATTCTCGTAGTCATAATAATCATCATTGACTAGATTTGTAATGTACCAAAATGGAGTGATGCGCTCTCGTCCCCTCTGCTGGGGAGCTTGGCCCCTTGGGATGCAAATATTAGCCTGCTTATGTCACCTGTAGTCCACCTCAAGAATCATTCTCGTAGTCATAAAAATAATCATCATTGACTAGATTTGTAATGTACCAAAATGGAGTGATGCGCTCTCGTCCCCTCTGCTGGGGAGCTTGGCCCCTTGGGATGCTTTCTCTCTTGACGTTGACACTGATATGGGAAGAATTCCGGCACGTGCACCTATGAACACACGTGCATAGAGACAAAAATACAAACGCAGAGACACACACACTGAGGTTATTATAACTCACGAAAATGGACAAAGTTTAAAACAAAATGACAACCTTCACAAACAAAGCCACTTTTCAATGATGGGGTGTCATCCCCCAAGGAAAGCAAATTCTCCATGGAAACCAAAAAGTGACCCACCCGTCTGACTGTGGCACTTTTCTGATGCACCTCCACCACCTCCTCCTCCCTGTGTCGGCGCCGTCTCCGACAAAAAGCCCGCTGGACTATGTTGGCTGTCGCGAGCCACCGGTTGCCTACAACATCAACACATTCAAATACTGGTAAAAAGTCAACATATCGCTGTCTGTGTTGGGAATGAATCCCCCCCTACATCTGTGACGTGGCCATTTTGTTGTCCTGTTCATGTGTAATGAGTAAAGGTTAGCCCCTTTAAAAGTGCCCTCAACATATCCCACAATGCATCTTGAACTGACAACAAATTGTCAGTAGAGAAGCAATGTGAGGACGCATGTTTTGTGTTGGTATGATGCATGAAGCTTAAAAACTACAAATAATGAAACAAATACCTTGATGCTATGTCACACATTTTTGTCTATCAGGAAAAACACAGTGGACTAAATATTCCACTAAAGGTCCACAAAAAAATCCAAATGTAATAATTTGGACAGACTGCTGGATCCTTACAATCCGTATGTCTTTTGAGGCTGAGGCAAGGGGTCATCAAAAAAGGAGTCGTCATCGTCCTGCTGTTCCCGGTCCACGGGTAGGTCCCGCGCCGAGTCCTTTTGCGGAACGTGCGCCTGCTGAAGGAGCTCCTCGTGCCCAAACACGGCCACCGCAACGTCCTGCTCACGGGCACGTCCCACGTTAGTGAGCCATGCTTGAGGCTTCGGATCGGAGGTGATGGTGTGACATGAAGGGCACCAACCTTGTCGACCGTGACGCTGTTCTCTTGCGACGCCACCTAAAAGAACAAAGTGCGTTCGTTTGACGCTAGCGCCGCCCACAAAAAAAAACAAAAAAAAAAAACAAGATACACAACTGTTCATGTGCTAATATGCTAAAAAGACCTCAGTGGCCGGGACAGATTTGGACTTGCGTTCCCCTCTTCGAACGAGCTCCAGCAGCACTGGCGAGTTTGCGTTAAGCTCCGCCTCTGAAAAGCCAAGCTCCCCGCACAGCAGCTGCCGACTATCCAGGGTACTCGGATGCTAACAATAAAGACAAGAATGACATGTCGGTGAGGAGCCACCGACTTAGGGGAGGTGCGCCTTGGCGGCGCCACGTCATCTCAGTGGTGTCACATCAGCAGCATCATGTGACACCACATCACGTTATATCAGGTCAGCGGATTTACGTAAGAGTGGCACTGCGACATGGAAGCGGAATCAAAGCATTGATGTGACGCCATCTTACCGTGTTTATTTCTGGCTGGAACACAGCCAGGCTGAAGTCCAGGTGAAACACACGCATGAAGTCCACAATGAGACTGGCCACGAGGCGACCTGCAGGCACACTAGAGGTAAGATCGGGCCGCCCGAGCCCGAGCCGAATTTCGGGTCGGGTCGTGCCTTAAAATGTCAATCATTGCTTCGAGTCCGGGTCGGGTCAGGCTTCTCTCTCGCTTACTTTTTTTTTTTTTTCCGAGGCCGTCAATACTTTTGGCCACGAGAGACCATGGTTCGCAAAAAAACAGAAGTCGCCTCATCACAACACGTACTGTACGAAACTCTTGCAATGACAATTCAAATAACTCCTTCCTGTCTCTATGATCCACCTATCATTATTCTTTTTTGTCTCTCTGCTTCTCTCTCTTATAGTGCCGCGCTAGATTCTTAAGGACGTACTGCTGCGGTGGTTTACGGCCCAATTTTCAACCCGTCAAAATGACGGATGGCCTTAAATTTTCCCGTCCACTCTAAAAAAAAATCCGTCAATGATAGAAAATTGTCGGTTAATGTAACCTCTTCAGAAACAGAAATATAAAAGATGTAAATGTTTATACAGTCTTGTTTAACTTACATTTCGTTCCAAAAGACAGGCTTTGTTATCAGAAATCACCCCTCCTCCTCCTGAGTCCTCTCAAATAAAATATGAAATGTCGGGTTTGCTTCGGGCTCGGGCCTGCAAATCAAGCGAAGTGATCGGGCTCGGGCCGGGTCGGGCTTAAATACCCTCGGGCCGGTTCGGGTTGGGCTCGATTTTTTAGGACCGATCTTAGCTCTAAGGCACACACATCGGCGCGCACACGCACCGGCGTCATCAGAACTCATGCATTTCATGGAGTCCAGTGACCAGATGTGAAAATAAAGAAACAGAAGAGGACGGCCGTCCAGGGGGAAGCTGACCAACCATCTTTGGTCTCGAGACATTTCTTCAGGTTTTCATTGACCAGTGGCGTCTTGTTCTGAGGGCGTAAGAGAAGCAGAGCACGGGTAAAGGCGAGGAGCACAAAACGGCTGGCTACACAGCAAGATGCAAGTCAGCCATCACCTCCAGTCGGTCCTGCTCCTCTAAGGCCAGGAACACGGCTGCCCTCATCTCTGCCTGCAGCAAATCAAACAACACACTCAATCATTCATCTTTGTGTTTTTTGTTTTGTGCTGTCTGCAGCCAGGCTGGCATTGAAAAATAATCCGTCTCGATTGCCTTGCCTGGATAAATAAAGATGAAGTATTATAATTTTTATTGGCTCCAGAAGGCCCCGCGACCCTTGTAAGGTTAAGCGGATCAGTAAATGGATGGATGGATGGATAATTTTAGGGAAAAAATCTGAATTAAGCCGCTACATTCACAGTTGACAAATGGCTAATATAATCTTTTTTTGTGTGATTCTGCCGAATGAGACGTCAACCGATCAACAACTTTACACATATGTCAACGAGAGGCTTTTCGAAGCCAAAAACATCGACAAAAAATAGAGATAGAAATAAAAATGTGCTTGAATGATTGAACTTGCCACTACTTTGGGCTGTGGACTGTCCCTGGAGGCTGTTTTCCACTTTAGCCCGGCGTGTCGGCTAAGAAGCGGCGCGAGGGCGACGATGAAGTGAGAAGGGAAGGAAATGTTTGCTGACCTTGAGCTTGTTTAGAACTCCGTTGTTCTCCAAGTTCTGGATGAGAAGATCCCTCAGCTCGGTGTCGTCGTCTGTAGCAGACATCTTGTGCTGTCATCCAGCCCACCTGCTCGTGATTAGCTGCGAGCGCTAGTGCGGAAATGCAAAGTCTACTTCGACGCGACCAAACAGGGATGATTGCTCACTTCCGCCGCCTGTCGGCGACAAGAAGACAAGTCCGGGGTTAGCTTGGCAAGCGTTCAAATGAAAAATCGCTTTGGGACATGCAGCACTCGATGGTTTCTTGGGATGTAGTAGACTTCATGTGACTTTGATTTCATTTATGGGGCAAGCAAAACAAACTGGTTCGAAACGCTCGTTTAGGTTAGCAATGAAATCATAATTGACAACCCAAGAGAGTAATTTGTAGAGCACTTTCAAAAAGTGATGTTCATAACAATAAATATGCAGTAACTACAACAAATGCCAGTGTCATATAGTAACAGGCACAGCAATTAATTGCTTTCCCACTAAAGAGCAGAAAGTACAATTAACCCAGAGGTCACTGACATGGCACGTGATTGCAGCCACCCCGTTAGGAAACAAGCGTAACAGTGACGGGCCATTGCGATTTACTGGGAGCCTTGGAGAAGTGATCATTCATAGAAATCAAGTGTTGCATATTGATATTCATCCATTTTCTGCCTACTTCAATCATTTGTCACAGTCTGTGTTTTTGTATCATGTTTTGCTGTGTCCCGCATTTGTTAGATTTTCTTTTCCAACTGTTCTCGTCAGCCTTGTGTTCACGAACCAGCTCCATCCAGGCACTCGTGTCTTGTTCAGGTGTGGCTCAGACTCTCAACAGTTTGCTTGTATCGAGATTCCTGGTTTCTTCCAGACCGTGCGTGTGTGTGCATTTTTGTTGTCGAGGTCTTGTGTCACGTCACGCTTTCCGTGTACAGTATTTGTAGCACATGACGAGCACGCGCAAGCCTTTGCGTGTCATTTGTGCTCAGGCCGAAGGAGTCACGTCTCAGACACTCGTCAAGATCGTAAACACTGTTCCAAGTTCATTTTTGGAACTTGATAAAGGTCCCTCAGAGACCCCAACGCCAACGGCTGCGGAGAGCAGCGCTGCTCATTTTTCCAGCTCGGGCTTTCCGCTAAATAAATAAATCAATAGACTCATGTGGGGGTCGCGGGATGAGCACGGTTATTTTGAAATTTGGTATATTTACGTTGCTGTTTTTCTGCATCTGCATTCCATCATCAGAGTCTTCTGTCAAGTGCTTCACGATACCATGAAATAGCAATATAACAGTATTTCAAAATAAACAACCCGCAACATAAAAGACCAAAAGACATTCAGAATACATTAAAGTGAGTAAACCGAGCAATGACACATATCTGAAAGAGTGCGAATAATAAGGAAATTGGTTAGTTGTTGTACCTTAATGAACGACGATGAGTGTATTCCTCTTATTTTGTCAGGTTTACGCGGAAACGTGAGTATCGTTGCCGGAGTTTGCCGTGTTCCTGGCCCGTCCTGCTCAAGATGGCTGCTGCGGCCGTTGTTTGGGATGAAGAATGAGATGACACTCGGTTGACGTCCGATACAACCCCGCAAAAATACTCCGATACAAACCTGCAGAACCGCTCGCCAGAGCCACCACCAAGACCACCTGGACCCAAACGACACGATTCTCCCGATAAAGGTTTGTTGTCGCCTCGCAACGGGACACCGAGCATCCTTGAAACGCTTGATTGACACTTGGCCCCCCATTAAAGCCGATTTACGGAGTCGAAAACGCAATTTGATGGCAAGATTTTGAATTAGCTTCACCCTTTTGTTTCCTGCTACGTTCAAGCACAATGTCACTCCTTTTCAATGTCACGAAGAGCTCGATGGTTATTACGACGACGTTGATCACACCAGAAAAAAATGCAAAATTCAATTTGGTTTCGAGTTGCAAATAAATAATTGATTGAATATGAGTCACATCTTCACAATCATTTTTCGATTATTAATAATAAAATTCTCATTTTGTGTCACAAAATGTTTGCGTGATGGCTCGCGGCCGCGCGTTGCCATGGTGTCAATACGTCAGTCATGATTTCAAATTCGACTTGTTGCATTCATTGGATGCTCCAAAATATGTTTCATTTCCACATTCATTTCGTTGTCTTAACCCGTTGATATATTTATTCGTCGAGTGAAAAAGGTGCCGCAGCGACAGGTGCATGACGACATCATCGCGAACGCGCCCCCTGCAGGCCGCCTTGTGCGTGGGTGAGGGACGTGCCTGCAGTGGGCGCAGTAACAGCTTGTTTCGTGTGGGTGCGCTTGTGTGTCTGCTTGCGCAGGGGCTGCGCGCGCTGTGAGAAACCGCCAAGATGGACACCACCACTTCCATCAAGATGACCACGCTGGCCATTCAGAAGCTGTTCGGCCACGTGGAGGAGGAGAACCTGACGGCGCTGCGTGACCATCTGGACCGCTTTAAGGAAGTGGACGGACGGAGCGACGTACGTGCTCATGCTCTCTAGCTTAGGGGATAATGAATGACTGCGTTTGGAATCAGTCATCGTTGAATTGCGTGTACATTTGAGGAGCTATCGAGCTCCCTTATTTATAAAAGTGTCTGTCTGTGGTGGTCAGAATGGGCAGACGCCACTGATGCTGGCCGCCGAGCAGGGGAGCCTGGAAATTGTGCAGGAGCTCATCCGGCGAGGAGCCAACGTCAACTTGGACGACGTGGTGAGCAAAACAGATGGGGGCAAGGGAGCAGTGTTACTGCCAAGCAACAAGATAAGTGCTGATAAAGGGATAGTAACCAAGCGTCTGTAGGAGTTGTGTGTGTGCTTTCTGTACTGTTGTGAGCTTGTGTTTTTGTTTTTTGTTTTTGTCTATGTGTGAGTGTGTATCTGTATTGATGTCTGTTTGTGTGGATGTGTGTTTTGTGTTTGTATATGTCCACGTGGCTGTGTCACTTGTATGCATCTGTGTAATGTGCGGGCGTGTGTGGTCAGGACTGCTGGTCGGCACTGATCTCAGCTGCCAAGGAAGGTCACGTGGAGGTGGTGAAGGAGCTCCTGGAGAACAGCGCCTACATCGAGCATCGCGACGTGGTGCGCTTCCCGTACGCCTCGTCAGCCACCCGGGTGCCGGCAGCCCCGCGGCAGCGTGATGTCATTTGAGTCTGCCGTTTGTGTGGCAGGGAGGATGGACGGCGCTCATGTGGGCCTCGTACAAAGGTCGCGTGGAGGTCACCAAGGAGCTGCTGGAGCACGGCGCCAACCCCAACACCACCGGACAGGTAGCACGCAGACATGCCAATGGGATGGGCGCAGTGGAGACCGCCACGTGTGGGGCAAATAAATAATTATGGGCTGATGTAAAGATCTGGTATTTGCCTGCCCCCAGCAGTACAGCGTGTACCCCATCATCTGGGCGTCCGGGCGAGGTCACGCCGACGTCGTTAAACTCTTGTTGGAGAGCGGAGCCAAAGTCAACTGTTCGGATAAGGTGACAACACGCAGCCACACGCAAACGTTGACACTCGCTTGAACGCGCTTTCATGTCGCGCTCACATTCCGTGAGTGCGGCTGTGGATGAGCCACCGTTGCGTGTGTGTCACAATGTGTTTTTCACTCTTTGAGTGTGAATGTGCCACTGTTTGAATTATTAGTACGGGACGACGTCTCTCATCTGGGCGGCGAGGAAAGGCCATTTCGAGTGCGTCACACACTTGCTGGAGAACGGCGCCGACGTCGACCAGGACGGAGCGGTAAGCATCACTCTTTGCCAGCGTTGCGTGGCGTGCGCCTGACTGACGGCCGGCCTCCTGGCAGAACTCCATGACGGCGCTGATCGTGGCGGTGAAGGGCGGCTTCACAGACGTGGTGAAGGAACTGCTGAAGCGCAACCCCAACGTCAACATGACGGACAAAGATGGCAACACGGCGCTGATGATGCCGCCGCTGCACGTCTGCCGCAACGCCCTCCGCCACTCTTGCAGCTGCCGTCGTCCCTGCCTTGAGATACCAGTTGAATTTGTGTGTGTGTGTGTGTGTGTGTGTGTGTGTGTGTGTGTGTGTGTGTGTGTGTGTGTGTGTGTGTATTCAGAGCGGCGATACGGTGCTGATTGGAGCGGTGAGGGGGGGCCACGTGGAGATTGTCAGAGCTCTGCTGCACAAGTACGCTGATATCGACATTCGAGGGCAGGTGCGTGGCCATGATGGAGCTGTGGTGGCGATATCGATGATGACACTAACGATGTTGGCGATATTGACAATTGCGATGATGGCAACAACAAAGATGGCGGCAATGATGATGATGATGATGATGATGATGATGATGATGATGATGCTGACAACAATGCTGCTCCTGCCGCTGATGATGATGATGGTGATGCGTCCAGGAGAGTAAGACGGCACTGTACTGGGCGGTGGAGAAAGGCAACGCCTCGATGGTGCGTGACATCCTGCAGTGCAACCCCGACACGGAGACGTGCACCAAGGTGAGAAGCGCCCGTGCCGCACGCCAACAAGGAGTCACGGCGACACCTCCGCTTCCCATTTCAGGATGGCGAGACGCCTCTGATCAAAGCCACCAAGATGAGGAGCATCGAGATTGTCGAGCTGCTGCTGGATAAAGGGGCCAAGGTGTCCGCCGTCGACAAGGTCGGACAAATGCGCACGCGCAAAACACACACGTCGACACATTCAAACACAGACACGTGGCCGTTCATCCTTCCTTTGGTAATTGCGACCGTCCGTTTGCGATCGATCTCTCACTCCTTTGAATTTCGCCAGCGAGGAGACACGCCCCTGCACATCGCCATCCGGGGGCGCAGCCGCCGCCTGGCCGAGCTGCTCCTGCGGAACCCCAAAGACGGCCGCCTGCTCTACCGGCCCAACAAGGCTGGCGAGACGCCGTACAACATCGACTGCAGCCACCAGAAGAGCATCCTCACGCAGATCTTCGGCGCCCGTACGTGCCCGACGGGCCCAGCAACCCGCAACCCGCCCGCTCGCCGCTCACCGGCCGCCGCTCCCTCCCGCAGGTCACCTGTCGCCCACCGAGTCGGACGGCGACATGCTGGGCTACGACCTGTACAGCTCGGCCCTCGCCGACATCCTGAGCGAGCCCACCATGCAGCCCCCCATCTGCGTGGGGCTCTACGCGCAGTGGGGCAGTGGAAAGTCCTTCCTGCTCAAGAAGCTCGAAGGTGAGCACGCACGCACACGCTCACGCACAGGGAGGCCGAATAAGGACATGCGTGTCCGCGTGTGTTGCGGTCAGATGAGATGAAGACCTTCGCGGGCCAGCAGATGGAGCCGCTGTTGGGCCTGTCGTGGCTGGCGGCCGTCCTGTCGCTCCTCCTGTGCGGTGCCGTGGCGCTGGGGCTGGGCTTCACGTTGGACCCCAAGCTGGCCGTGGCCGTCTCGCTCAGCCTGCTGGCGCTGCTCTACATCTTCTTCGGTGAGCGCCGCCGACATGGCTGCCGTGGCGCTCCTCCGCCCGATATTGACCTTCTTCTTTGCCCTCCGCAGTGGTGGTGTACTTTGGGGGCCGGCGCGAGGGGGACAACTGGAACTGGGCGTGGCTCCTCAGCAACCGCCTGGCCCGCCACATGGGATACTTGGAGCTCCTCCTCAAGCTCATGTTCGTCAACCCGCCGGAGCTCCCGGAGCAGAGCGTCCGAGCACTGCCTGTCAGGTAACAACGTGCATGGGACCGCCATACTCCATTGCCGATCCAGTCACGGTGATGTCCAAGTGACACTGTCATCAAGACGTCAAAGTGGAGTCACGGTCATGCCGCCGCGATCGATGTCGATGAGTTAGTGGTGATGTCATCGTGACATCATGCCACGCCGCAGGTTTCTATTCACCGATTACAATCGGCTGTCAAGCGTCGGCGGCGAGACGTCGATGGCCGAAATGATCGCCACGCTGTCTGACGCGTGCGAGAGGGAGTTTGGATTCCTCGCCACTCGCCTCTTCAGGGTCTTCAAGACGGACGAAAAGCAAGGTACGCGGGCGCACGCCCTCACACACGCGTGGCCTCCAATGCGCACACACACAGCAAGTTGGTGCGCTTGCAGGAAAGAGCAAGTGGAAGAAAACCTGTTGCGTGCCGTCCTTTGTGCTCTTCGCACTGGTGATGGGCTGCCTGGTGAGCGGTGTGGCGCTGATGGGCGTCTTCCGGGTGGGCGGCGACAACCGGACGGTCAACGGCGTCCTGATGGCGCTGGGCAGCGTGGTGGGCGTGGCTGTCCTGCTCAACTGCCGCACGTGGTGGCGGGTCTCCGACTCGGTGCTCAACTCGCAGAGGAAGCGGCTCCACCGGGCCGCCAACAAGATGCACAAGCTCAAGAGCGAAGGCTTCATGAAGGTCAGGAGCTTTTGTGCTCGTTCGCCTGAAGCCCGGAACTTCACCGCCGTTCAAAACCAAACGCACGCCATTGTGTTTGTCACTGTAGAAGAATTCCGACTTCCGCAAGGGGCTCAAGGAAGCGTGTTGAACGCAACCGATCATCCAAAGATAATTTTACAGCCTCATTCATCGATCAAATGTGGCCGTAGTCCAACACATCTGTGTTGGATTACGGCCATATTTGAAAAATGTTGCAGCCACAAGAGAAAGCATGTCAGCAAGCGGTTAGCTAGCCTCGGACAGTTTGTGTGAATGGCGAACTGAACGAACTCTGCGGTACCGGCACCCCGACTTTGTCTTGGCGATGGTGAGCCAAGCCGTGGCTGAAGCGCGGGCGTGTCTTTCAGGTTCTGAAGAGCGAAGTGGAGCTGATGGCCAAGATGGCCAAGACCATCGACGCTTTCACTCAGCACCAGACCAGGTTGGCGGTGGTCATCGACAGCCTGGACTCGTGTGAGCAGGACAAAGTTCTGCAGATGCTCGACACGGTGAGATTTTTGGAGGATGCGGCCTCACTGCTGTAGCCAGATTACGGTCATAGAAAAAACAAAACACAGAGAGTGTGGATCTTTGAGAGTCTGTCTCCAGCACCTCAGTCGTCGATCGCTGTCCTCGGCAGAAAGACTCTCCACGCTTCGCTTTGCTTGAGTCACAGAAACATGTTCAAAAAACGAATATAGCTCCGTCATTTTGCAAAGGCATAATCGCTGGCGTTGGGCGGAATCCCGTCATCTCCCCAGCCGCCACTTTTCATGAATCTCACAAAAGGTTCTCCGTCATCCCGCAGGTGCGAGTCCTGTTCTCCAAGGGTCCCTTCATCTCAATCTTTGCCAGCGATCCGCACATCATCATCAAGGCCATCAACCAGAACCTCAACAGCGTCCTGCGGGACTTTGTCAACGGACACGACTACATGAGGAACATCGTCCACCTGCCCGTCTTCCTCAACAGCAGAGGCCTATCCTGCGCCAGGAAGATGGGCGGCGGCGGCGCGGCCAACGCCGGCGCGCCCGCCAACGGGGACGCCGCCAACGCTGAGGGTGGAGGATGGCACGAGGAGCTGGACAGGAAGTTGTCGCAGCACAGCTTGGGAGAATCCACCAAGTTTGGCAGCAAGGCCACCCTCAGCCGCCGGGTAAGGTCACGCCAGCTTACCACCATCAACAAAAGGATTAAAAAAAAAAAAAAAAAAAAAAAAAAAAAAACCCCCAAACATAGATCAATTTCCTATTGAAATGAATGGAAACGTAATTAATCCGTTCCAGCCCCAAAATTAAGTTCCTTTTTTTTGGTCATATCATTTTCTAACACTGATTCCTTTCTGTGTGTGGAAAAAAAAAAAAAAAAAAAAAAAAGCAAAGCTCCAAATGGACTAAAAAGTCCACGTGGGGAAATTCTTGGTGATGCCGAGCGTTGTCATGTGTGCAGGACACGTACCGACGACGCCAAGTCCAGCGCTCGGTGACTCGTCAGATGTCGTTCGACTTGACCAAGTTGATGGTGGCCGAAGACTGGTTCACAGACATCAGCCCTCAGAGCATGAGGAGACTCCTCAACATCGTCTCCGTCACCGGTCAGTAGCGGCGCTTCGCTCGCTCGCGCCGGTGATGCGCTCGCTCGCGCCGGTGATGCGCCTGTTGCCACTCACATCCGCTTCGCCTGCGCGCAGGTCGTCTGCTGCGAGCCAATCAGATCTCGTTCAACTGGGACCGCCTGGCCTCGTGGATCAACTTGACCGAGCAGTGGCCCTACAGGACGTCCTGGCTCATCCTCTTCCTGGAGGAGAGCGACGGTGTCCCCGACCAGGCCACCCTCAAGAATATTTACGAGAGGTGAGCGCTTGCCGGCGAGCGCCCCACGGCGGGCTGAAATTGACCTTTGTCTGGCTCAGGGTGCTGAGGAACATCCCCACCACCAAAGACGTGGAACCGCTGCTGGAGATCGACGGAGACGTTCGCGCCTTCGAAGTGTTTCTGTCCTCGCGGACGCCCGTCCTGACTGCCAGGGACATTCGCACCTTCCTGCCCTGCACCGTCAACCTCGACCCCAAACTGCGCGAAATCATCGCCGGTAGCTTGGAGCCCCCCCCCCCCCACCCCCTCCTGCATTT